CCCTGAATTATTACCACCCCTGTTTATTTCTTTCCCCAATTTCTGTTTAATGGAGGGAAGATTGTTTCAGCACATTTCTAAGCATAATAGTTTTAAAAACGTATTTCTAATAACTGATTTATTTTATCTTTGCCATGATGACAGTAAATTATATTTGACTTGATATTTTTCAAGACACTTCTATACAGCTTAAAGTGACATTTAAAGGCTTAACTAGGTTAATAAGGTAAACTAGGCAGGTTAGGGTAATTAGGAAAGTTATTCTATAACGATGGTTTGTTCTTTACACTATATATATAAAAAAAAAATAGCTTAAAGGGGCTAATAATTTTGTCCCAAAAATAGCTTTTAAAAAAATCAAAACAGCTTTTATTCTATTCGAAATAAAACAAATAAGACTTTTTCCAGAAGAAAAAAAATATTATCAGACATACTGTGAGAATTTCCTTGCTCTTTTAAATACCATTTGGGAAATATTTAAAAAAGAATAAAAAAATCAAAAGGGGGCTAATAATTCTGACTTCAACTGTATATATATTTATACAACAGTTCTGTCTGGTTCTCAAATCTATGCCTTCTTCATCTCAGTGGCTTTTTTCAGTTTATGCCAATTTGAATTTGTATAATGTTATTATTATTATTATTATTATTATTATTATTATTATTATTAGCACTATCATTTATTATATGCATATTTATAATTGTTTTAGTAAAAACAAGTTTAGATTTGTCCACCTGTTGGGTTTGGAGACATATGCATCATCATTTAGGGCATAAGAACAGGACGTGTGTTTGGATATAACTCAGTTTTTTGACCACACTTTGTTATTATTGTTCATTTGCTGTATTTGTTAACTGGAAATTAGAACTGAATTTAAAAACAGTTTTGAGACAAATATCTGTGCTTAACAAACAAAACTAAATATGTAGGCTAATGGAGGTCTTGAGTGGAGTGAGTTTCCACTGTTTCCTTTATCCACGAAAATAAAGGAGTAAAGAGTAAAAGTAAATAGAAAGTAAAGAGGCTGAATAGAGGAGACTCATTCTTTATACTTGCGCTGCAGATGATCTGTTTAAATGGGTTTCTCGCTAGTGAAGCCTTCAGGTTTTCCACTTACAAAGTCCGCCATGTAAATAGCAAATGTGCGATGCAACTGATTTTTAAAGGGAATGGGAGATGAGACTCTAAATGGTTTAATGCAAGTTATCCTCAAAACACATTCATAACTCATTAAAAGAATAAGCTCAACCCTGTTAGAACATGCGCCGGGGCGCATACTGTATTTTTCTATCCTTAAAATAGCAAAATGGCATTCAGAAACCTTACTGCTTTTGCACCATGCTCTTTAGACTTTGCGCCTAGATTGTCAAAATAGAGCCCTTGGTTTTTAAGAAAAAAAAAACAATACTTGCACAAGTATGATTCAGCAAATTTCCCTTATGAGATGACTTTCTTTGATAGGGTGAATATCACAACATTACACCACACAGATAATAAACAGTTAACTTTGGTGAAATACATAATATGTGCATATCTTTTGGAACTATATTGATTATGTTGCTAAAGGACGTTTTTACGATTGTTGCACATAAATAACACAGAGCTAATGACCAATCAACAACAAAACTTGATTATATATTTATATATGACTATATTAACATTAAATATGCCCATGCTGAAGGTGTCATATCACACATTAGACTTGGTGTAAATCACCACTGATTCTCATTAGGAAATGTCGAACACATAACGTTGAAAGCCGCTAAATAGCTGTAACGATATCCCAATGATATTCTGGCATTTCCTCCAACTAAAGTTGTCAGGGTGTCATGACTAATGAACAACATAAAAAAAAAAACAGACTTTTAATGTTGCGGACAGACTTTCAAAATCGCAGACATATGCTTCATATCTCTGAGCAGGTACTTGAGTCTTGTTAGTACGAATGTCAGTCAATAATTATAAAAAGCTGCTTTTATGTGTTTTGAAAATGCTGTCCTTAATCTATGCGTTTGTGTACTCATGCGCAGCTTAATTAAAACAGGAGTGCGGCAAGCCAAAATTCATGGAAACATAAAAAAAATAACAAGTGGTGTAGTTGGAATGAGCATATATCTGCATGTTTCTTAACTAACATAACCAGATCTTTTTTCACGCTTGTTAATTTGCCACATACTGAATATTTTTTTTTCAGAACGCATGTGCCTTGTCACCTCAATCACCCAATATTCATCAAAACACAAAAGAGAAGTTCAAGAAGAAGGGGAAACTTTCGTGGTACGGCGTGACAAAGTGGGTTTAACAAAAGCGCCAGGGTTTGTGACAGCGCTCTTTGTAAGTAATGCGTCTCCATTTGTCTCCTGCTGCATCGCATTTTCTTCAGCAACGATCCCTGCACTGAGCTCCCATACGTTACGCTCGCAGCCGAGACAGTTTTTACCATGTAAAATCAAAAATAATACATCACCCGGCAAGCAGAACGCCTCTCGTTAATCAGGGCTTATTTATGGGCAACTACTGAGAAGAGCGAACGCTTTTTAGCACCCCCCCCCCCCTCGACCTATTTGACCCTTAGAAATTGCATAACAATGACCAAAACCAAGGATAAAACTTGATGTTGACATTTTATGTTGTAATAAATGCCAGTGCCTATAGATATAACTCAATGTACAGTAAGCCTATGGGATTATTTACACTACGATTTAAGGATATAATAGAGTGTTTGTCCTACAAGGTGTGAGTTGAGTT